TAAAACTGCAAAGTTAATGTAGAAAAGATACTTATTCGTTTGGGGGAATTTGGTATTCGTTATTACCCATTGACAAAATGGGTCTTAGTTTGGCTTTGATGGCGTCTGTGGGGAAAGAAGTTATCGTCCACACGTCAACCTTCATCTATGAAAAGGTACCCCAACATAGAATAGAGTTAACATGTCTTATATACTAGAGAATTGGAACAGCAATTTTTAAGTGGTAGACACACTGCAGTACTCCCTCACCAGAATTATAGCTGTGATAGAATTCAATGAGCGGATATCACTAGTTGATTCGTGTTAGGTTCACGGTCGTGGTCGCTCTTGTGTTGCCTTTAGCAGTCGTGTGTATGACCGAGACTGAGTAGCAACAGCGCGAGGAGGTGGATAATGTCGCAATCACAAGTAGCAAGTCAACTTTTCAATGTGTACCAACCATCGAAGTAGGCGTGTTCAGTTCAAAGTGAGCGTTACTGTCAAGATAGGCGTGTTCAGGTCGAAGTGGGAGTTTCTGTTAAGAAAGGCATGTTCACATCACGTCCGGGTCACCAATGTGGGGAGAGTAGTTATCGACAATGTCAATCTTCATCTGTGAAAAGGTACTTCTCCATTGAATCGAGTTAACATGTCTTATACACTAGTGAATTGGAATTGCAATTTTGTAGTGGTAGACACACTACAGCGTCCACACACTTTTCAACTTTGTTCAGGAGTAATAGTAAACAGTGCGCATGCGTCATCATTGCATGCGTTGCTATGGCGACAGCTGCTGTTTTTATTTTTATTTTCACTAGCAAGTATTTTTAATGTATTTACACAATAATAATTTAAAGTATTTTTTTATTTTTTATTAACGTATAATTACGGGCTTGACGGTGATTTCAATATAAATATGAATACTGAAGAAGGAAAAGTATTTTGTGACGTCTTGAAACACGTACATGGGGGCGTTTAATGGAGTCAATCCAGAAGGAAAAGGCATTTGACCTATGGGTAACAGTAATAAGACGATCTCAACTTTTATTTATTTTTTACAAACAATTCTAATGCAAGAAGCACCAGAATCCAAANTTTCGGCTTCTTGTGCTTGTTGCCACTGATAAATATATTCCGCAGAAAACTCAACCATTGGAGGTTTCGGTAAAAGGAGCAAATAAGCATAAAGTAATCTATATTTTTGATGATTATTTAAACTGCGCCAATACTAAGCAGTTTTAATGCTAAGGAAATGTATGTCTTACGGTACTTTGTAAGAGATATGTACCTGAAAAATTATTGTCTATCATGAGTTGGCAGCGAGCAATATCATTTCGCCAAGTGATGCTGAATGTATGGCACCGAAAAGGGCAACATGTAATATTGAAAAAAATTATAATTATTTCAGCTATATTAATTGAAAAACTTAGTGGAAGAACCAGGTAAGTGATATTTTCTAAACGAAAAAAAAAAGTTTTATCCGAACTATTTTACTACCAATTTATTAGAAGGCGGGAATTCCTTGTTTTATTATTATCTAACTCAAGAATTTTATTTTATTTCATAACCGTCGTTGAACAGCCGACCCAATTTTGAGTTTACGGCTACCAATGTTCAACTCCGTAGCCTTGTTATTTTGATCCCAATCCAGAAGACGAGAGAAATTCCTGGATCAAGTAATGAGTGAAATTTGCCTTCGTGGAGGACTTTTTGAAGGAACTAACCCACATTTGCGTCGCATGAAGAGGAAAACCACAAAAACCTCCCACGGTTAGCCTGACGGCAAGGGGACTATACCACTAAGGATATTTCACGTCAGCACTGCATTCGGAGCGAGTCAGGTGCGGAATTCGTATCGATCAAGGATTCGAACCCGGTTCACCTTATTAGGAAGCGAGCACTCTGTCTGCTAAGCCACCACGGTTCGGACCACTTTTAGACAGTTTGCGGTGTAGCACAATCAAACTGGTTTGAAATGTTATGAGTCATGTCAAAAGCAGTCTTTTTTATATATAAAAACGTTTACTACTTTTGAGCTATTCGTTTTATTGATTCAAGAACAGATTTCGATTTAACGTTAAAAAAATATACATAATAAACTAAGTCTCACTTGTTTACTTGACTTGTTCACTTGATATTGCTATCAAAACAAGGTCTCCCTTGTTTAGATAGCAATACCTGATAAAAAAAGTCTAATTTTACTAGACTATTAATAATAGTAATTGGAATTCTATCAGTTATACTGGAAGATAATAAAGTATCAGGATGATACTTCTTTTTTTTTTAATGCAGTAGATTTATTTTAAAAATTAAAATAAATAAATAAACATAAATAAATGAGCAAAATAAAAAAGCGAGAGAAATAATGTGGTAAATAGTTTAAATAATAAATAAATAGAATAATATTGTAAATAATAAATAGATAGAATAATAGTGTTGCGTGAAAAAAAATTAATCGGAAAATATACCTCACTTGCCTATTTAGTTGAAATTCTATTCTCCCACTCAAAGTATCCTGTTTTTCCTCAAAAAGGGCGAAGAAGGGAAGGGGAGCTTGTAGACATAATGACATAACAAAGCTTTATACAAAAAAAATTCTTGGGTCTTACCGAAGGAAAAGCCTAATTTTACTGGACTATTAATTGGAATTCTATCAGTAATATAAGTAGATAAAAAAAATATCAGGATGATACTTTTCTTTTGTATGTTGTAGATTTATTTTAAAAATAAAAATAATTAATAAAATAAAATAGCGAGTGAAATAATATGATAAATAAATTGATCAAAAAATAAGTAGAATAACATTGCAAATTAAAAAAAAAAAAAAAAAGGTAGAAGATTATAAGTGAACAAAATAATTTATGACTTAAACACATAAATAAAGCTCCAAAAAAGTATGTAAATTTAACATTTATTATTTAACATTTATTAAAATATAACGTTTATTGAAAAATATATTTTCAATAAATTTAATATGTCTGAATTTAGCCAGCTTTATTTAAGAGCACACATCGTAAGAAAGCACTAGTCATTTAATATTTTTTGTTATTCTTAAACCGATGAAAGTATGTATTGCTTATAAGCATGACAAATACAACTTTTTTTACATGTATTTTTAAGGGACTTTATTTCTGATTTCTCACGTGTGCATTTATTTAGCATATTTCATATTTCCCTATATATAGGATCGTTCAATTTTATTTTAAAAGCATATTCTTAAAAAGTCCCATCTCCACGGCAATCATTATTATGAATGATTTTGATATAGCGAGGGAATAAATAAGGAAAAAAAACGAAGGTGTATTTAGTGATATATGTATAGATATACATATACAACGATCGCTCTCTATGACAATTTGCAGTCCCTTGCTCCAAGTTTATGTTAAATTGTAATATGCTTGAATGTAATCAAAGTTTTTTTTTTTTAAATTTAATAATTGATTATTATACACAATTTTATTCTGTACATATCAGCAACAAAAACAGTTTTGATTCCTTCTACAGTGGATAAAAGAATTAATTTAAGCAATTCATGGTCTATCTAACGCAAAGGCTTAAGTTGAGTTACTTATTATTAGTTTAAAATGACTGTTTTTCTAACTTCTAAGCATTTTCCTAGCATTTAAAATTTGATGAGTTTCTATTTTATGTTTTTTCTTGAGCAAATGTCAATAAACTACGCTGCTGTCTGTAAGATATTAATAAATGTAACTAAATAAATATACAAAAAAAAAAAATTAGATTATTTTGAAGACTTTAAATTTGAAGAAATTTTTTTTGCGAACATATATATAATAGTGAGACTGGTGATAGAGAGAAAGAGAATCATGATTTTTACCAGCTTCATTAAATAACTTGAGTAATTTCATACTTTCCTTTACTCTGATGACTATAATGATGTGTTTTGTAGGAGGTCATATTTTAGGATTCTTCATGTTTTTATTTATTTGAGACCGGCGGTTTATTTTTATGGGTGTATAATTTAATATTAAAATTATATATCATTACTGGTTCACATTGATATTCTTGACTGTTTGTGACACAGTGAATGAATAAGAAAGGAAAAAATGAAAGAGAAAATCGAACACAGAAAAGAATCGTATTAGAGAATGGACACAACCGCGAAAGGGTCAACAGGAACGATGTTGTCAAGGGTCCCCCTCCTTTCATCTTCTTCGTCAGCTCTGCAACTTTGAAAGCTATATTTAGCGATATAGCATTAAATTTATTTAATTTCTCCCAAATACAATGTGGATCTCAGCAATTTATTAAGGCAATATATTCTGTAAGATTTTTTTTAAAAAAAAGTATATTAGTTCTAGAAAATTTGTCGCACAAAAGTTACTCGAAAAGGTACTTCGTAAACCGAAAGTTTGCGATTTGTTTATCTTTGTAAACAAGTGGAGAACAATTAAAAATTATCAAAAGTTCTATGTTTACGTAACATTTGAAAGTCTCTCTTGAAACAAAAACCAAAACAAAAAAATAGAAAAATCACATAATTAGCTTCATATTTCAACTACCGTTTCAATTTTTAAAAAAGAATAAATATAAAATTATCTAAATTTAAAATAACAAAACCGAGAAAAATAGTAATTTAAATTGAAAAGTTAAATAGATAAACAGGGGCCTGTCCAGACCGAATTTACTACCGTTTAGCGGTACCTTCACAAATCCAACTTCAGGAAAAACGGTAGTTTCACAAATTTAATTTTAGGAAAAACGGTAGTTTCACAAAATACTTTTTCTTAAAATTTCATTTTTGTATTCCTTAAGAAATGATAAATCCATATTCTTGTCATATTTTTGTGCCGGATTTTTAAATATAATTTTTAACTTTTCACAAATTATGTCTAAATTTTCACAAAATAGGTACCTCTCAGAAAAACCTAGACAGACCCCTGATAAATATGTAACCCCGTAAAAAAGAAGATGAATGGAGAGATTTCTAAATTTGGCGACAATTATAATTGGCATTCTCATTCAGATTAGAATTCTTTCGCGATCATTGTATTTGGCGCGAAAGCATTGACATCAGTTGTAAGGCAACCCTAGGAGATCCCAAAACTCGGAAATTTCTGTTGTGTATGTAAACTTTGTAAGTAAAGGGAAAGTTTTTTGCGTATTTGATAACAAATACGATCATTGCACATGAATCTATGTCATCTGATAAGAAAGGTGAGTTAAATATTTTAAAATTAATTATTTTCTTCCACTATTTAAGCGTTCTTTTCTGTGTTTTACCAATCGATAAATGCGAGATGAATTATAAAAAAAGAAGAAAAAAATGGTGTCCATGAAAATTCCGGAATATGAGATATTTCTTAAAATAAAACTTACCATTAAATTGCTTTTAACGTTATTTATAATCTCATAACAAGTATAACAAGCTGTGTTTTAATTTTAGTGTTTATTTTATTCTAATTGTTTTCATTTCAAAGGGATTGCGTAACGGTTAAATTTGTATTGTGACTTATACTGAGTTCTCTCCGATGTTTTTTTTTTAAAAACAATTTAGTTTTTAAATGAGTGTAATATTTATTTAATTGCCACTGAATTTTTTATTTATTATTTTTTTAAAAAATGTGCAAATAAAAGGGAATTGTTAAAAATGGGTGGGGTAATAATTTTTGGGCGGGGGCGATTTATTTAACTAAAGGTTTATAACTGATTAAATTGGCATAAGTTATTTAAATCTTAATGATTGATAATAAATATTTTATATTATTTTTGTGATGTCGTAGTAGATTCGTAATATTAAAAAATTTGTGCTCAAATTTGTAAATTAAATTTAGTTTACCAATCAACAACCTACATCTTATTTATTTTCGTAGGTTATAATTAAATATGTTTGTAAAAATTACTCATTTAATATGATATTTTATTATCGAATTTATATCCTTTATTCCTACACACGTAGTAATTTTATTTAAATTGATACCATTTTGATCGATCGTCAACTGTTACCCAGCCCTGGTTAATACTAGTAAACGTATGTAATTATGATGATCGATATTTTGTTTGACCCTGTTTATACCTTTATACAGTGTTAGTAATTTAATTTTAAGTTTATTTATATTAGTTTTTATTCAAATTTTGTTATACACTGGTCAATTTAAATTAAATTAAGAACTATATTTATTTTTAATGCAAGATGAAAAAAATTATTTAAATTTTTTTAAACTTTTTTTGTTGTTAAAACCAATTTTCACAACTTATTAAATTAATTTCTTGCCATAAATTAAATACTAAATAATTATTAGAAATAATTAATTAGGTTTAAACTTTATTTTAATCGTTTTTTTTTTTCATTCTGGATATAAATTCCTATGAAGGAGGGTATTTTTAAGAGTGTTCACAGAAACTTTTTGAGAAGGTGACAAGCAGGTTACATATTTATTAAAATATCTCAGAAATTATGTACAAATATTTTTTTGTAATTCTTAATTTATTTTTACATAATTTCCATTGGAAATTTCTAAAAATAATGTTATTGATTGTGTAATGCTGTTAAACTAATAGTTATTGACCTAAAATGTATGTTTTTAACTACAGTTAAATGTAAAATGTTATTACAAATATTCCATCTCTATATTTCATATGGTCTGAGCACAAATAAAATTATTTTTAATCTTAAGCACTTTCCTATTCTGAACTTTCCAAAACTATTAGGTTAAACCAAAAAAAATGTGTTTGCTTTATAATTAAAAGTAAATTTCTTTTTTTAAAAAATATTTTTATTCATTTTTGAAAGAAAAGCATCTTTTGGTTAAAAATATTTTTATAAAATGAAATACGTTAAAATCACTTGTTTTTCATTCGTATAATCTGTATTTGCTTGTAATTATTTACAGGTTATTTTAAAGGTTATTNATAAATCCATATTTTTACTATATTTGTGTTGATTTTTTAATATAATTTTTAATTTTCACAAAATAGGTAACTCTTAGAAAAACCCAGACAGACCCCTGAAGTATTCTTTAAATTCTCTATTTCATCTAGTCTTTAATCATGCATTTGTTTCAAAATGGTTGCTATGCATTCAAAGCCATGTATTATAATGAAAAATTATTTTAGTTAGAGCTTCTAAAATATTGTTACAATATAGTTTTAACATTAAGTTAATTTGATTCAACATTTATAATTTTTTTTTAATCATAAATTAAAGTTCTTACAGTGTATTTGAATAAAAATCAAAAAAATCTGATTTAAATCAAAAAAATCCGATTTAAATCAAAAAAATCTGATTCTTTTGACTTTTTTTAAAAAAATCAAAAAAATCAGGAACCCTGGTTTAAACTTTATTTTAATTGGGGTTTTTTTTCATTCTGGATATAAATTCCTATAAAGGAGGGTATTTTTAAGAGTGTTCACAGAAACTTTTTGAGACGGTGAAAAGCAGGTTACGTATTTATTAAAATATCTCAAAAATTATGTACAAATATTTTTTTGTAATTCTTAATTTATTTTTACGTAATTTCCATTGAAAATTTCTAAAAATAATTTTATTGATTGTGTAATGCTATTAAACTAATAGTTATTGACCTAAAATGTATGTTTTTAACTACAGTTAAATGTAAAATGTTCTTACAAATATTCCATCTCTATATTTCATATGGTATGAGCACAAATAAAATTATTTTTAATCTTAAGCACTTTCCTATTCTGAACTTTCCAAAACTATTAGGTTAAACCAAAAAAAATGTGTTTGTTTTATAATTGAAAGTAAATTGCTTTTTTTTTTAAAAATATTTTTATTCATTTTTAAAAGAAAAGAATCTTTTGTTTAAAAATATTTTTATAAAATGAAATACTTTAAAATCACTTGTTTTTCATTCGTATAATCTGTATTTGCTTGTAATTATTTTGACTGTCATAGCTTTGTTAGTTGAATTAAATGTCTATTTTGAAGGTTTTTAACAACTTAAAAAGATAGTAAAATCTTTGTTTGAACTTTTTTTAATATTATTTCTAGAATTGATAGTCAGTCATTTTTATTTACATTCAGACCCAAGATAACATTTTTCAATATATTTTTTTAACATGATTTGTTTTTACTGCTGGTCGAAAACCACAAACAATGGTGAAATGTTTCCAAGTCTAGTTTTCTTCGCATTATATTATTCATGTAATTAAAAATGATTCAATCTTTAAAAATTTTGGAATGATTGAAATTTGTTCTTTTTCATCAAAAATTTTTGATGATCTACTGTAAGAATTTTGATTTTTTTCACCCCCACCCCCCAGAGATATAGATAAACTTTTGATGTCTGAGACTGTGATAGAATCATGCTAAAATGTTTTACAGTAAAACGGTGTATAAAAGCTTAAATAATTATCAATGACAAATAACTTTGTGCTTTTATTGATTGTATTTCGCATTATTGTATCATGAATAATATTTATTTTGCTTTGAGGCGTTAAAATCTTGTAACAGGAGTTCTTTGCAGGTTTTGTTGATTTAAATCGAAAGATTTTTTAAAAAAAATCATTGATTTGAATCAATTGATTATATATATATATATATATCTGAGTGCGTGTGCGTTTTTTTTTTTTTTTTTTTTCCATTTCNTTTTTTTTTTTAAAGTTAAATAACAGTGTTTTCAATTATTGATACTTTTATTATTATTTTCTTATCTTAGTTTTAAAATTTATTTCAAATAATTTACTGCATTAATTAATTTTAGTTAACGAAATTACTTTCTTGGCGTGTGTTAAATTCCAACACATTTGAAATTACATTTTTAAAAATCTTTTGATTCTTGAGATTGAAATTATACAGATTAAAGTAAACATTTAATGCTGTCTTAATATAGACTTGCATAGCTGTAGAAAGTGATTAATAACCATAAATTTTTTTCACAAAAGAAATACAAATAATGTTCATTAAAATTCTACCTTTTGATTGAAAAAGCATGGAATTAAAATCTACATTATATTTTATTCATTTCTGG